ACTCGGACTTGAGGTCAAAGACTTGAGACTTACTTGAGACTCGCAAAACGACGACTTGGTCCCACTTCTGCGTAAATTCTGTTTTTGTTGCTGTATTTTGGACTCCCTCAAAAACTAGATCTTTCACAAAATAAAAATAAATAAAATAAGAAATATTACTCGAGTAGAAGTAAAAGTATGCTCCTAGAAAAGTACATTTCTTTAAAAAGATACTCAAGTAAATGTAACTGAGAAGAAAAGACGCCACACCAGAAGTTTGTCATTAGCTTTTAATATTTTTATTTGTTTTTCACATTACTTTTTTTTAAACTGAATCGACATTTTCAGCAATTTTGTGACTTTTTTCGAAGGATTTTTGTTTTCTGGATCCTATTGTTAAAGGAGAAGCTCTGCATTCACAGTCAAACCTTCATGTTTTAAGTCTCTTTTTCACAAATGCTGCAGAATTATTACATCTGTACCATTGACTTCTTTTCAAAAATAGAAAAAGGCAATAAATAAACATTCCGTTGAAATCTATTTTTAGTATGACTTCTTTTTTTTTCTTTTTAATTTTAATAATCTTTTCGTTTCACTGGTGTAGAGATATTAAAATGGTTTCCAGCATCAGTCTTAAGCATTAACATTGGAGAGTGAAGGGAGGCCTCTGCGGCGCCTCTCTCTGCCAGCGGGGGGCGCTCAGTGAAAACAGATGGATAGCAAAGGCACAGCGTCATGAGGTTTTTAACAACTAAAGGTACTGGAAGCATCAGAAGGCAGCAGTGAGAGCAACCGGCGTTTCAACAGAGGCAGCTCCAAAAAAAAAAACAGAGAACTTGAGCGAACCCAAAAAAAAAAGTGTTTTTAAAATTCGATAATTAAAAAACAGCTTGACAATCTATTTTTCTTTAAATTACGAACCACTGGAACCAGGAATTTCAACAGCTACAGATTGATTTATGCTACAAAAACTTCATAACGAGGCCTCCTTAAATTCCCTTTATTATTTTAGTACACAACAAAAAGTAAAGAGTTAAAATTGACTCTCACCGAATAAATTTTAACATTTTCCAATCTGTTCTAGAGTTAATTTAACGTTTTTATAATTGTCAATTAAGTAAAACTGGACCAAAGTTCCCGTTTAACCCCGAAATCAAGAGTTATATTCATGTTTTGAGAGTAAACTGATAACACTTTGTAGAGTTATCCTGATTTACCGAAACAACACACAGAGGTGTTTTATTTTTACACTTTAGTTGAGTTAATTTAAGATGAAATTATTAATAAAACTGGTTCTTCTCTAGTGGGAGTTTGAAGTGGTGGGTGGGAGGAGCCAAATTAACACTAAGTAAAGTTGAATTAACACTAGAAAAGTTGAATTAACACTAAAAGGTGAATTAACACTAGGGAAAGTTGAATTAATACAAGGGAAAGTTGAATTAAAACTAAGAAAAGTTGAATTAACTCTAAGTAAAGTTGAAATAACATGAAGGGAAGTTGAATTAACAGTAGAGGAAGTTGAATTAACACTAATCGACGTTGAAATAACACTAGTGAAAGTTGAATTCAGTTATATCAACTCTGGCAAATAACTCCAACTCGAACCTTCATTTAACACTCAAATAGTTAAAATAACACTAACAAAACAACTCTGAAATATTTAACTCTGAAATTTTAACTCTCCAGTTTTTGCTGTGTAGTTTTGAGTGTGTTTTTTGAAGATTAATAGAATAAAATATTTTCAAACCGCAAATAAACGTCAGGGAATTTTAACTTTTCTGGTCGCCATGAAGTCATCGCTTTGCCTCGAAAGTTCCGCAGTATGTCTTTAAACTTACTTTGGTGTAGGCAAGCAGGTTACTCCATAGTGACACATTACAGATCAGATCTGTGGAGAGGCGAGCGTGCTCACAGTAAGAACTCGAGTTCGTTTTAGCACTAAAAACGTTGTAATTTAATAAGTGCGAGTTTAATACTGCGGAACATGTGACAAAACAATCCACAACCAGAAAAGTTACGCAGTACGGCTTTAACTTTCATACGTTAACAAAGTAATTAAAAAAATATATTCTTCAGTGTTAAATATCTTAAAATAGGCCAAAAAAATACAATAAATCTTTACTAAACAAAAATAATTCTGAAATTGAGATTGAAATTCATGTTTTTTGGACAAAGACGCTCGTTGCTCTGAACATGAGCAACGCCGCACGTTTGGTTTAAATTATTTTCAAACCCTTTTCACCGTCAAGCAACAAAACGTACAAAAGTAGAATGCGACAGCCACCTCTGCCCCGCGGCAAACGCCAAAACAACTGCTACGTAACTGCATTAAAACATCGTGGGAGAAGCAGAGACAAGCCCGTCCCCCGAGGCCTCCCTTCACCCGAGTCATTCAACGTCATTTTAATTCATTTTTGTTAAAGTTTCCCATGCATGCATTTAGAATTCATTTCCAAAAAACCTAACAAAATCAATCAAATCAACTCAGGAATCAAAGAAACGCAAGAACAAGAGATGCAGAAAGAAGCGTTTTTTTCCTCTAAACGAAGAAACGAGGAGGGAGCGGACGCCGAGGAGGCCAGTGAAGGAGGTTTCGTGAGTGACCGAGCGTGAGATGAGGAGAGATATTCGCATGTAAAGCACACTGGCGTCGCCGCTACGACTCAAACAAGTAAAAAGAAAATGTAAAAAAATAAAAAGTTTAACCGTAAGAAATATTTGGCGACCGTGACGGCGTACGTTTAGGTCCACTTATCACACACTAGATCTGTGTAGCCTACGTCAAAGCTAGAAAACGTGCGTCTAACGTGCCGGCTACGTTGTTGGCGAAGTCGTTTGAAGAGACTTGAAGGCGTCTGGCCGCTTTCGAAGTGCGTGTCGGAGAATTTGTAAAGGTGTTTTCGCGTTAGAGGTTGGTTTGGGACAGTACTGTACCAAAAAAAACGAGACTCAAAACCGTGGGAAGACCGTGGGGCGAAGTTCCCGTGGAGTGACCGTGGATTTCCCATGAAGTTCTCGTGAAGTGACTGGTCCTTTTCTGTGGTCAGCCCCAAATTTTGAAACACTTTGTCTTCACGTTAACAGCGCCCCCTTCAGTCGATTCTTTTAAGTGTCCTTTAAAAACACACTTTTACTCACCGGCTTTCAACACGGCGTGGGAATTTTGTGTTCCGTTGTCCATTGTTTGCGAATTTTAGTATTTTTCATGTCCTTTGTTGACTTGCTTATTGATTTATTTTATGCTTTATTTTATTTAATGAGTTAATTTATATTGTGCAGCACTTTGGAGACTTTGTGTTGGTACAAATCATGTTGGATCGATGTAGTTTAATAGGACTTTGGTAGAAAACTGATTATTTTCAAAGCCTTCGTCGGATATTCTTCTTGCTTTGGACCACAGTATCACAAGCTTTTTTTTGCCAAAATGTTATTTAAAAGTTAATAAAAGCTTTTGGACATGGGCCATCTGAGTGTACTATGCATTTTTTCGCTCATATTTCCAATGTTACCAACATAATGATACTTAATTTTGCTTTATTCCACCAATTTTAAAGTATTTTTGTTACTTCTCGAAATCCCATTACCGTCTTTTGTAATAGACTTAGATGAGCGATACTCAAAACGTTTCGCACCAAGTACCACGTGACTTAATATTTTGCTTTAGAACCGGATCTAAACTCGGACTTTCCCGGGAATAAATTCGGCCCAATCGTGGTTTAAAATGGGACTGTACCAGCTCTGAAATCGGATTAAACAACGGACAACGTGTTTCTAAACGAAGATTAACCCAGGACGGCAAAAAACGTGAACGTATTTGTGTGTGAATAAAACAAAAATTCAGATTGCAGAGGTTTCCCGCGCACCACCAGAGGCTGTCACGGTTTGCGAAACACCTCCACAAATTCGCCAACACCTTGAAAGCAGCGTCAGACCTATAAAATCCTAACATCTCTATGGACTAGGACTATAGTAGAATAACCGTTTCCATGGAGCAGATCTACGTTAGTTCAAAACTAATGCTATCTCAGTTGGTAAGTCTTAAAATCAGCTTGTAGTTAGAGTTACACCAAAAGCAGAATTAAGAACATTAACATTTGTTAGTTTTTTTTCTACTAGCGAGCTATAAAAAAAAACGCTTGGCAACGTCTGTCTCTGATTTGCGTTGTTTTGCGTCGATCAGGCCGGTCCGTTTGTTTGCCCGTTGTAGTATCTTTGTTTTGGTTTTTTTGTATTTTTGTGTGTTTTGCTCAAATTTAGGAGCGTTTTAAAAGAAAAGCTGAAGTAAATCTGAAGAATTTTAAGATGCAAACAAGACCTGTACACTGATCTTTGACGCAAACTGGATGCTGAATTCTCTTGGATCACACAACCTCCCGTTCATTCGCCGCTAAGATATTGCACTATTGTAAAAGAATCTAGCAAGTCCACGTTCTAAAAATGCTGAGTTTCTACCGGATTATCGGGAACTAACTTTCCTTAAGCGTTTCCTGAAGAGACGAGCTACTGAACCACCAGTCGGTCTTAAGAGTTTTTAGCTTTCGCCGGTTACAGTGGCTCCGTTTTAAGATCTTCAACGAACATAAGGTACATTAGGCTACATGCTACGCGCCCCGATCTCCCGCGATTTCCTGAGGACGAACTTCTAAGTCGGAAATTATTTTTTTTACACAAAATCCAGCCCTTTGTTTTCATTCATTAAAACAAGGACAACGGCAGAAAAAATATACTTTGACATCCGCATTTTAGTTTTTTTTGAACAATGGACATCTGACGGGTCAATATGCTCGATATACTGATGACATACTGAACGTCGTCGAGGATGCCGACGAATTTACACACTGATTGGATTGTTCACTATTTAGACTCTAACCTTAAAATGTAGCTTTGTGAGACTAACGTCCAAGGTTAACAGAACGTCAAAGAAAAACAAAAATAAGACAATGCATTTGCTTTGACACGTTAAAGACAAAAAAACAGAGCAGTAATTTCAAACAGAATCAAGATCGCTGCTGTTCACCGTCTCAGAGAACTGGTCTGTAATTTTTTTTTTTAAATCAATGGAGGCGGGCAATATCAATAAAATGGGAAAAGATGATCCAAAATTTGTTATCAAAATTATAATTTTCAGTCTTTGGTAAATTGGAAAAGCAATTATACGTTTGGAAACAAGGGTCTATAATGATATTTCTGTACTTTTTTTTTTAACCCTTCCAGACCAGACATGTTTTACAAAACCATGCATAACTTTCCAACCATAACAGATAGAAACATACTTTTTTCTCCCTTGTAAAGCTGACAGTTGTGGTTTTCTGAGCATATTTCCGGCATTATCCTACGTCAAATGCTGCGTGATGACGTCGGGAAAAAAAATTTCCAATAGGAACTTTGTTTTCCGTCAAACGCATGCTCTACGTTCAAGAGTGTAGTGACTCAAAATGGTCGACTGCTCTGAGCGTCTGCGTTCGTAACAATTCAAAAAGTGACTCTAAGTGCAGTTATTTCTCAAATAAATGCCAAATTACACATCTTAGTCTGTGTAATTGCGCATCTCTTGGTATTTGTATTTGCATGGAAGTGATGTGGACCTGATACGAGCTTTTTTCCACGACTGGCACCAGGAAAATCATGAGGCCATTGCACTTTTTATTTGTTTTGAGGCAATAAGAATATTTTTAGTTTACTTACACACTTGATATTTTGCACTTTAGTAGCTAAGGCCCTAAATTAAGCATTTTTTTATGTCGAGAAAGTTGTTAATACATGTCTGCTGTGTGTTTTGTTTTGTATGAAAGAGTGTGAATCTTATTTTCTGCTTTAAATATTTGTATTTCTGGTCCTGTAGCTTTTATTACAACCATGTGACACAACTACAGCATGAAAATTGTGAAATATCAGGCTGTGCTAAAACAAAATTAAGGAAAAAAAATCTCGGTAAAAATGTTCTAAAATTGCCCTTAGGTCTGGAAGGGTTTTACAGATAAAGTACAAAAATGACAACAAAATAATCGCCAATATTGCCCATTTAAAATTTTGGTTCTAGATCTTGCCAATCTCTGTACACGGTTAATTTCCCCAAAAACCTGGACTAAAATATGTTTGGTGAAGCAGCCGTCTTGACCCTGCGCACATAAAACTCACACATAGATTGCACACGCCCGTTTGCCGATTTCCCGCCATCGAACCAACGTAAAAAACCACGACACGGATATGAAAAGCAGGTACTTGGTGATTTTGGTGACATTTTTCCAAGTCCAGCAAGTGCATGTGCCAGAGCTGCCATTATTGGAGAGAATCACACCTTTTTAAACAGATACAGAGGAGGAAAACTAGGAGAGGTTTTCGCGAAGCAGAAGCAGAAGTCCAGGGTTTGCGCAAGTGTAGGGGTCGTTTTAGGTGGGCGCTATTTTTAACTTTCAAATGCGTCGGGATGAACCAAAACAAGGTAGATGTAACAAGACTCTGTAATACCTTAAAAACTAATCTATTTTTCTGCATATACTATAATTTCTTTTTTCAATTCTCAAATTCTAGCCCTGTTTGTTACGGGGAGCTTCAAAATGGCTTGCAGATGTCATGCAGAATATTCATGCTGGTAAACAAGGTAATAAAAATGCATTTCTAATTTTTTTTTCTTTTGTTCGTTCCTAGATTAGTAGCTCTAAGGTGTTGTGTAGATTCTGCTGATCCCTGCTTTTCTTTTTAAAGCCTCCATTTCGTCGTCCCAGAGAGGTATATTGAGTGTACGGTCCACGCGGCTCCCCCACCCCCCTCTCCACGCCGCCGCGGTTCCCGTAGCGCGCTGGAGCGGCCCTCATCCATCATCGCACTGGTGCAAGAGATGCTGATTTTCACATATTAGCCGTCGCTTTGGGGAGGATTAAAAAATAGCTCGGATGATCGTACTGACTTTGCATTGACATTGCAGCGTGGAAAAAAAAAAAGGGAGTCCCCGTTTTCTCATCGTGGGCTCCCGGCCTCGTACCCCTTCCCCCCCCCAAAACCGACCAGTGTCTTTTTGTTTTCTCGTTAAATTGTTTTCTATCATGCCATGCACTTTTGCTAAAAGAGGAGAGGCAACGATTGGGAGATGCAAGAGGACGGGGGCGGGGATTCTGTGGAGAGAAAAGAGAGAGATAGAAGGAGGTTCCTACGCACCGCAGGGTCTTTTAAGATCGTTCAAACCGCGCCAAAAAATGAGTAGCAGCTTTTCCTCTTGCCGTGGCGCTGTGATATGGCTGATGTTTCTGATATGTATGACGAAACTAGAACCCAAAACCAACTGCGGCTCGGTTGGATTCCCCCCCCCAACCCCGGGTCGAACCCCCACGCCGGAGTGTTCGTCGTGACATGCACTGCCACCATTGTCTTGCATAGTGTTCTAGATGCCACAGGAGTCCTGGTAGAACGTGGACAGGGCTGAGAACATCCTCTTGGAGAATTCGTTGACACAAAAAGAGGGCATCCGGCGCAATTGTCTTTATCGTGAATGCCCGGCTGACGGCTACCGGTGTTTTCCGCAGTCTCCGGTCGGTACTGCGGAGGTGGTTCAGCCCCTGACTTTGGCCACAGTCGTTGGGTATGCGGATGGGGGTGTCACGGATGACCTCTTCCTCGTGTCTCTCTCTGTTCCCTCCCTCTGCTTCTCCACGGAATCCAAATGAGGAAGATGAAAGTGCAGCTTGTTCAAAGTTTACTCCCTCTCTCTCTCCGCTCAGAAACTCAGCACTGAAAGAAAACACAAAGGAGGGCTTAGTTTGGGGAAAGTTGCAAGCTGTTTCTGACACTAGACCAGAAAAAGAGCCAAAAGAGAGCCAGAAGATCAGGGTTTTAAGGGCTCCGGAAGTGTTTGAATTTTTCGTTTTTACCTAATTGTCTCTTTATTCTCTTTCTGGTCTGGTGCAGATCAAACTCCAAACTTATGCCAATGCTCTGAGCATGATGGTGGCATCTTAGTTTACCAATTAGTCCAGTTACGATCTTCAAAATAAATGTAACTTCATAAAAAATACGTACCCACCATCATAACACAAGTACGTCATTGGTATGTGCTTGTTACCAATAGCAACACTTCACTATTTTGTGTTATTTTTGCTTTAAAATGCCGCCAATTATCGAAAAGTTCATTTGAAAATATGGAAATTGTTCAGCAAGAGTGTGAGGTCAATTTTTCGGTACACAAAGCAATGCTATTGGCTCAAAATAATCTTAATTCAATGTGTGTTTACAACGATAGCCATTGTAAAACCTTTTAGACGTCGATGTTTCCTTTGCAACTCTGTCGCCAAATGTCAGAACCCGGCAAGAATTGGCTAAAAGACTTCTACAATGGCTGGTGTTCACTTGGCTGCGATTTCCGCCGTCCAGACTAAACCGTCGACGTCCCGAGCGGTAGAAACCTCAACCAAATGACACTTGAAGTACACCAAGGGAAGGGATGACGAAGGCCAAATTAAGAACACTTAGAACGAAGCTCACTGCCGGCATGCAACACAAAACGACACACAGACACCTCTTTCCAAACGCTCACATGGACACACTCCACGTCGGCCGCGAAGTCCGCTATCATCTCCGTACGTCTCGGGACATGTTAGCGGGTCGCAGCTGGTCACGACATCCACAGAAAAACCCACCACAAAATCAAAAAACTACACCTGCACACACCCGGACCAGACCTTGGCCAAAGAAGAACCATTGTGGTGTATCGCTTCGTGTTTGCGTCGCTCGTGGGTTGAGAAATCACTCACGCGTTAACTCAATGCTTGCCGTGAGTGCGATGATGGCTGTTTGACCCAGGTGTGGTACACAGAAGCCTACATGAACAAAATGGAGGACGGGAGGTGGGGGGAAGATTGTGGCACATAGAACAGAAAACACCAAAGACACGAGACGAGACAGTGCGGGGGTGGGGGGAGGGGGGGGACCCAGTGGACGTTGTCTTACATGGAGGTCCGCTTTGGTTCGTTCTTTGTCCTCCTCAGTGGGGGATAGTCCATGTGAGTCCAACAACTTTTCCAAACTTCCTGTCTTCTTTCTCTCCGGGCGTGTCTTTGAGCTCAGTTTGTTCAAGCGCTCTTTCTCTTTCGCGATGGACGTCGGTAAGGGTATGCGGCGGGTTGGAAGAGTTCTCGGACAAATCGTGGAGGTAAAGACAGTTCGGACAATGGGAAGCAGAGGTGACATTGACAGGCACAGAAAGAGCTTTACATTTGGTGGAATCTCTCCGGTTCGGTACATACAGTACGGCTTTGAGGAAGCAACATGAGCGGAGATACAGGTTAAAAGGTACCTGAGTGATGACGAGCCGAACGGCAATAGTATGTGAACGAAAAGTTTGGAATGTCAGGAGGTCGGGAGAAGATCGCCTCTGCAGTGTACGTGGACAAGTCCTTCAAGCAGGGTCGTCCGACAAAGTAGCGTTGTCTTTAAACGATTCTAAAACTCATCGTTGACTGATTACGAACCCACAACGAAGATAAAAATGCTCCGTTTTTAGTAAAAGAATGTAGTTTTCATTCACATTCTTTATGAGATCTTATACGTCTTTAGGAAAACTTAAATTATGTTTTTTTGCACTATCGCTTCTTGGTCAAATGAGTATCCAATCACGATATTAGTTTTAGCGTTAATTCATTTATGATTTTCAATACTTTAGCACGTTGGATGCCTTAAGAATATTCAGAGCCTTCGTATGGTGACTGCAAACCTGTTTTCAAACTATGTTGATGTTTTGCCAATTTAGTTACTTTACCAAAATAAAATCTGCACATTTGGGTCCAGCTACATAGACTTTCAAAAGGCCACTACAGAATATTTGCTACAGAATCCTGGTGTGATCATTTTGGCCTCTATTCACTGGTTTCAGTTTCCTAGTATGGATGCGATTTTGAGGACTTTTTGAGGAGCTGAGCATTTAAAGCTGGTCCAGTTGAGGAGCCGCTAATCCAGAGCACATTTGAGTCACGTTGTCTTTCATAGACGAGTGAAATCTGGAGTCACGCGGCGCTCCATCTGCGCTCACGACTACAGTACGCTCACGACTTCTGTTCTAACACACCTGATTGTCCGTCCGAAGCTGCCTCCTCCTCAAACTCAAACCGACCCTGGCGTTGCCGTACACTGCAGAAGTGTCCTTCAGTCAAACCGCTTTCCTCCGCACATTCTCAGATGAGCCGACACAGACACATGGCGTGAGCTGATGTTTCATGTTTCGGAGAACGCACTGGGTACGGGGACTTTGGTGAAATGGTCTTTTGGGATGGGACAGTCTTTGACCCTTCTTAGACAAAGATCAGGCGAGACTGTAATGGAAGAAGCTGGATTTTTAGCATTAGTTCACAGTTAGTGCTTCTTTTTGCATATATCTGACAAGCTCAGGGCTCTCAGAATAGTTCTCTATGAAGAGAGAAGCAAACCAAAGAAACAAACCCAAAGTCAAAAGCTACGATTAATACTGTATGTCTCTTAAGTCTCAAGATTGATAAGAAAGCAGCTATACAAGTCCTACTAGAAATGGAGCCCCAGCCCATCCTGAAAAAATAAACTTTCCCACCCCACCCCCCAGTACAGTACCTATCCTGGTCTACTGGGACCAATAGCGTAGCATTAAGCATGCATAATGTCAGCTCATTCCACCTCTTCGTGCATTCAAAGAGGTAAAGTTTGACCCGCATGCTTGTTAGTGCATATGTATGCGTTTGGGCACACATGTCCATACACACTCAAAATGTCTAAATATTATATACACATTCATTTAGCTTTAGTCTAGCATCTTAACACGCCTCCTCCTCTGCAGTTATATCAAGAACCTTATTGCTTGCAATGGAAACCCATGCAGTTTGAACGTAACTTTACAATATGTACATCATCGGAACAGAAATGACCAATCAGCAAAACGAGAAGAAGGCGGGGGCGTTCGGGATCCCCGTGTGTCGTTCGTTTGTTCGTTTTTCGAAAATAAAACCAAAAATAAGAAAAAAACAACAACTATTTTCTTCATTATTTGTCTCCAAAACCAAAATGAAAAAACAGTAACGATCAGTTCTTTCAGTTTTAGATTTTGTTTTTAAATTAATAATGGAAAAAAAAAAAACGGATAATGGCCGGATAATTTCCCGTTTCCAGACTTAAACTGCGATGCTGGACTTTTGCACCGCATACGGACTGAACCAGGACTAAAACAGGACTAAACCAGGTCCGGGACCAGACAGGAAACAGACCAGGACTGAGACCAGGACCAGACCGTGATTGAGACCGGGACTGACGCCGGGAGTGAGACCGGGACCAGACTGGAACTGAGACTGGGATCAGATCGGGACCAGGTCGGGACTCAGACTGGGACTGAGACTGGGACCAGACCAGGACTGAGACCAGGACTGAGACTGGGACCAAACCATGACTGAAAATGGTTTATGCCTGGTTTAGTCCTGTTTTAGTCCTGATTCAGTCCTGGTCCGGTCTTGGTTTAATCCTGATTTTGTCCTGGTCCAGTCCTGTTTTAGTCCTGGTTCAGTTCTGGTTTAGTCCTTTATCCATTTTTTTCCCCATTTTTCATTTAAACACAAAATCAAAAACTGAAAAAAACGAATCATTATTTGTTTTTTTCATTTTGATTTTGGAGACGAATGATGAAGTAAATAGCTGTTTTTTCGTTTTCTTATTTTCAGTTTTATCTTGAAAAACGAGTAAACGAGTGACGCACGGATTGTTCGGGGTCAGATGACAGCGGAGGTGAACACAGAGACAGTGACAAAAGTGTATAGAAGAAGAAGAAGAAGTATGTCTGGTACAAAATGACTGGTCCGACCCTGAGGCATTGGTGTTTTTCAGTCTGAACACGACCGACCGGCGACTCGCGGCGTTGGGAGCGGAGTCGCCGGCTCGGCTTCACATACTGTTAAGTTTCACACATATTTTCACATTCACACTCCCGTACAGAGATACAGCGATATTCTCTGGACCTGATGGTGTTCTGACATCCTTATATGTTCATGACCAAAACAGAATTGTAAGAAAGAAAACTTACAATTCACATTTGAGGGCAGGAGCAAGGCAGAAGCTCAACGGAGACGCACGTGTATGAGATGAGATGAAATCGGCTTTAAAAATTGAAATTCTCATCAAATAATATTCAGCAGTTTTCAACCAAATTCATCGACAAAAGTGCGGTCCGTGCGCAATTCGTAATTTTGAATTTCAGTCAAGTACGGAAAACAATAAAACAGGAAAACAGTTTGATATTAAATTTTTCCGTTTTAGTGTCAAACAAAAAAATGCTAAAAGATTTCTACCTCTATTTCCAATATTTAATTTAACATGTATTTAAAATTTCAGAAACGCCAATTTAATTTAAAGTTTATAGTCTCGGTGCCGATTTTAATTTTTATATTTTATTCTCTGGTTTATTTCGCCCTGAATTTCTGAAAAACCGTTGGAATTTTGTGGACAAACGTGTCATCTTCTTTTATATCGACACGTTTACTTTTGCGTTTTAGAAAGTAATTTTTGAACTCCGTGACGCAAAACAAGTAGTAATAAAAATTGTTTTTATTATAGATCCACGTTTGAGCAGCAGAACTTTCACGGCAAATAAACCAAAATCAAATCAAAATTAAAACAGTCACCGAGACTTTAAACTTTAAATTAAATACTGGAAATAGAGATCGAAATCGAAAGTTGAAATCTGTTTTTTTTTTTTTTTTTTGTTTGACACTAAAACAGGAAAAAAT